CAATGACTTTTGTTGCTCAAAATCCATTTTGGATTTGTGGATCACATCAAACGTTGACTTTAATGGAATGACTAACAAATAATATTTCGTTATTGCAATATATTGGGCTAAAAATATAGTTATTAGTTGATCCATAAAATCATCACCATTTGATATTGTGGTTACCTTCGAAACATGTTATTAAGAATATGTGAAGGTTGTTAAACCTCTTTTCAAAGGATAAATGATTGTGCTGTTATATGTATTTATTGAAATATCATTTTATAGCCATTAATGGCTAACTAAAAAGCCAAACTAATTTCATAGTAATCCAACTCTTTGGATTTGGTTCGAAGAGATGTCATGAGTAATTTCGAATGACGACTTTAATCTTGTAGTAACATATGCGACTTTCTAAGGGTGATTTTGTTATCAATAAACACATTTGAAATGTAACATGGGATGAGAAAGCTTTTGAAATGTGTACCTCTCTTCAAATATATCTAAAATAACAATTAATTAATTGTCAAATAATGCCTATTTTTGGCATAATAATTAGTGGCTTTACTGATAAACATATTTATAGCCATTTGTTACATGAAAATGTAACTAGTATTCTACAAAAGTTGATTCGAAAAATAACGGTTTTGATGTCTTCGGCGAATTAATAATTGGTTCGAAGCACAAAATTAATATTTTCATTAATTATGTGTGAACCAGAACATATAAGTTTTGAATAAACCACAATGGTTGGCCAAAAACAGTTTCGAAAGCCGTTTTGCCATAAGTTGCTTCGAAAGCCGTTTTGCCATAATTTTGTAAGCTTAACTCAAGATGTACTGAAAAATAACTGAACCTTTGATAACAAAAATTCAGATTTGCGGTCCTTTACACATTGATAAACATGTTCGTTCAATTATCAGAGGCCAATGCAGATAGGCAATTTCTTCAATAAAAGGGGTCCTGGACAAAACAAGACATGCATGGGGCAGATCCCAGTTGGGTTCTTTCAAATAGAAAATTTCCAGAGAACAAATATGAAATTGAAAAAATAAATAAATAAATAAAAATCATGATAACTTCTGCAACATACAATGCACACGCTGAAATTGCTAATATCAATTAAGTGTACCATACAAAAAATATCACTTTTGAAGCTTGTTATTAGTGGAAGTTATAAAGATAATGGAGAATATGAAGGACAAAGTGGATGAGTGGGAGGACAAAGTGGATGAGTGGAATGACACATGGCAAGACAAGAATGAAGATGGAAGAAATGGGTAGTTACTAAGTAGTTATTGCTGTATTTTTTCTTCTATAAATAGCCATTAATGGCTACATTGTAAAGGATCCAGAATTCATAATCAAAGACACTTGATTTCAATATTTCTTGTTATTTTCCTTATCTTAGGAGTAGTTTAACATAGATTTATATTTCGAAGCATTTATTTTCAGCATTTCCATTTCGAAGCATTTTATGCACTTTCTTTTCGAAGCATAGGAGTAGAGGTAAATAATTATTACTTTGATTGTTCACTCAATCATCTTTCTCCGTCTCCATTCTTTTGTTAATTTTTCTTTTCTCTACGCTTGACAATTTTGAAGTCCTCTTCATTGAGGCAAAAGAATCGTCAACACAATTGTTTGATAATTGGCTTGAATTTAATCTGTAAAGATTTTTCAATCATTGTTGGTACGTTCGCATTTATGATATTTTCATTCATAGGAAAAATATTCCAACAACTTACCAGATTATATCTTGAAACAATCTATCATATGTTTTCTCAAGATCAAAAAAAATCATATGAATGTCTATTTTATTTTCTCTATACTTTTCTATTATTCTCCTCAAAAGATAGATCGCTTTCATTGTTGACCTACCAAACATAAACCTAAATTGATACCGAGCATAAACCCAAACTGATAAAATGATATGACTGTCATATTTATTTTATTTTATTTATAAAAAGTATGAATTATTGAATATTTTGATTTAAAATAAAAAAATTAAAAACAAAAAATCACATTTATTATGTAATTTTGTACAAAAATTATATTTCTATAGTAACACTCACTTTAGTAACATTCGTCCCAAGTGTAGGAAGAAAAATGTCATTCTTGTAAACTTTTTACACAAAAAACATTTTTTTTAATTTTTTTTTATGATACGACAGTTTCATTTTTATAATTAAAAATTTGAGTTAATTACATTTTATTTTCCTCAAGTACTATGGAATATCATTTTATCTTTTAGTTTTAAAATCATATATTTATACCCAAACTATTAAAACTTAAAAAAAAAACCCCTCCTAAAAAAGGTTTTAAAATGAAGTAATTTGATAGTTGAGAAATTTAGAAGTATGATCTAAAAATTCAACCTTTTAGTAAGCGACACTGTCGTTGCTACAATCCTATATTGATTGACAAAGGCTAATCATGTTCATATAAATTCATTGAACACTCTCATCCTACAAGTAGATTTTAAGAATGCATCTTTTAAGGGTTCTTTGAAAATAGGTTATTTTACTAATTTTTTATTTTTTTATAAAAAAATATATCAAATAATAAAAATATAATGTAATTTAAAAAAAATAAAAAGACAATAAATATACTATTTTTAAGTTATTCCCACTACCATCAACATGTTGAGGTATTTGTTATGCGAAGCAACCTAGTTGAAATGTTATGATTTTTTAACATAAACTTTAGCTCAGCCATGACTTTACCAAGTGGTATGCTCTCCAATTTCATAGTGAATGATGTGAGCTCGTACTCCATGTGAGGTGTGTTGTAAGTAAGGGAACTGATTGATTAAAACCGATCGAAATTTTAATTTTTAGCATATTTTTCATAATATATAATTTGTTTCAATTTTGAGAGTTTGTATAATAATATAAATTGATCCGATCAAATATTATACTTAAATGCTTTTATTTTTTTTTTAATTCTTAGAGCATTATGTTTTATGATAAAAATTAGAAAGAGAAACATTTGTAGAGCAAGTTTTATACATTTTTTAAAATTTATTTTTAATGTAAAATTTTACAAATTTTTTAAAAAACTCTTTAAAATTTCAAATAAATCTCTTTTCTATGTCAAATTGACAAAATCAAACCGAATCGTTTATCCCTGGTTAGGCTAACCGTTTACTGTGTAAATTGGTGTATTTGTAGTGTATAATAACAAGGGGGATGCACCAATAAATCCCAAATTAATAACTTATGCACTGTTTAGTCCTAAAAGTTTTCTTATAGACTGAAAGGTCCCATTACAATGTTAATAACATCAGATACAATGTTAATAACATCAGAGTCATGTTACAAACATTGAATTTCAAACATCTAATGTTCATCAAATTTCAATAATGTTTGAAAATATAGGATGAAAAACATCTAATGTTCATCAGATTTCAATAAATTTTGAAATTATAGAATGAAACATCAGATCATTTACATCATTCACATCATGTTGATGTAAAAATGGAACTAAATGGAGCATAAAAAAACTTTTAGGACTAAATGGTTCAACGTTTCAAAAACTAGGACTTATGGATAAATTTTCCTATTAACAATAGTTGGGCTAACAATTTGCTAGTGATGCAATACATTTTATCTCCTTTAGATTATTTTGCAGTTTTTTAATTAAAATTATTTGTCAATTCTTTAGAACATGAATATTAATTTAAAATTTAAATATAAATATAAAAAATAGGGAACTGACTGATTAAAATCGATCGAAATTTTAGGTTACGTTTCGTAGAACTTTTTAACTATGATTTGAGTGTAGGAGTTGTATTTTAAATTTGTAAGTTTTAGAATTATGATTTGAGTGTGAAAAATTTGTTTAGTGAAAGAGCTTTGAATAGAGTGGAAAATTTTTGATGTGACATATGATATTTAATACAAAAATTTACAACTCATAACCAAACATATAACTCAAAATTCTATTAAAACACATAAAAAAATTTTTAAAATTTGAAAAATATATTTTTTGAATATATAAAAATTAACATATGTCAGTTGCAAAAAAAAAAAAAATTTGCACTGTTCTGGTCAACCGACCGGTCAACCACCCAGAAGTCCGGTGGGACGTTCGGTGAGACGACCGGTTAGCTCAAATTTTTCAGCCTTTGGCAGAGTTTTCAAAACTGAGTGTGAAATTATATTTTGAAAACTCTAAACAAATGCCATATACAAAACATGGGGTGAAAATATATTTAGAGGGACTAACCAAACATAGCTTAATTTCGAGCATATTTTTCATAATATATAATTTATTTTAATTTTAAAATTTTTTATGTCGATACAAATTGATCTAATTAAATATGATATTTAGATACTTTTATTTTTTAATTCTTAGAGCATTACATTTTATGATAAAAATTAGAAAGAGAAACATTTGTAGAACAATGTTTATATATTTTTTAAAATTTATTTTTAATGTAAAATTTTACAAATTTTTATAAAACTCTTTAAAATTTTAAGTAAATCTCTCCTCTCCATCAAACCGACAAAATCAGACAAAATCAAACCGAACCATTTATCCCTGGTTCGGTTAACCGTTTACTGTGTAAATTGATGTATTTGTATTGTAACAATAAGGCCTTGTTTGAGAAGACTTAGGGTTGGTTTGGCAAGGGTTCATTGGGCTTTTTTGGCTCAATGAGCCATAAAAGATAGAATAGGCTAATAAGTCACAACAGACAAAACATCCCATCCAACCCCATAATCATTACATTCTTCTCTCACAAAAAAATCAAAAAAGCCAAAAGTCCTTCCCAAACTAAGCTTTTGAACCCAGGCTCATATAGTCAAAAAAAGCCAAAAAGTCAAAAAACCAACCCACTTCCCAAACGAAGGCTAAATAAGTCTATACTTTTTATCTTTTTATCTTTTTTGAGTCACATCAATCAACATCTCCTCTCTACTTTTCTATACATCTTTTTATAAAAAGTCAAAAAGTACACTTATTTACAACATTCCAAACAACCCCTAAGAATAGTTGGGCTAACAATTTGCTACTGATGCAATACATTTTATCTCCTTCAGATTTTTTTGCAATTTTTTAATTAAAATTATTTGTCAATTCTTTAGAACCTGAATATTAATTCAAAATTTAAATATAAATATAAAAAATAAAAAATTGGCTTGAACTTCATTTATTTATTTTATTTTATTTTGGGTGGGGGGCAAAACATTTTATTTTATAAATAAACACACACACACACACACACACATTTGAACCCAAAAAATTAAAAAAAAACAATCTACCAACCACTACTAGCAGTCCTGATCTCAGCCTCTTTCTGCAAACCCAGCATCCGAATCCTGAGTTGCAGCTGAGTAGCCGCCGCCAAAAACGTAACCCCCTGCACCGGACTCAATATCTCCACCACCTTCTCCGCCGTCTTCCGCCGCAGCAAATCCGCCTTCCCTAACACCGCTTCCATCTCCCTCCTCAACCCCTCCACCACCTCCGCCTCTCTCACCTCCCCATCCTTTCTCCCCTCCCTCCTCGCCACCTCCAAAATCGGCGGCGCCGCCACGCTCTCCTGAACCCTAGCCAACTCCTCCGCCACCTCCCTCTCGGCCGCCTTCGTCTCCCTCACCAATTCCTCCATCCTCCGCCTCTGATCCGCCGTCAATTCGCCGGCGGAATTCGCGACAATCCGGAATGCGAGTCCCGGTTTGAATCCGGCGATCCAGAGAAAGGTGCGCTCGAATGGAGTAAACCAGGGGGGAGAGAAGACGAGGAAGACATTGTTGCGAGCGGCGATTGATTTGTGATCGAAGTATTGTTGGTAGTGAGAGAGGACTCGGGAGACTAAGTCGATGAGGTCGGAATCGGAGGAGGAATTGGAGTGGTGGAGGAGCTCATCGAGGTAGTGTTCTTGGTGAACGAGCCATGATTCGAAGAAGGATTCGAATGAATTACTACTACTTTCATTGTTGATTGTGGATGTTCCAAGGGGCATGTCAATGGAGGTTCAGAGAGAGAGAGAGAGAGAGAGAGAGAGAGAGAGAGGACATTGATAGGATGAGATGAAGGGGGAGAGTGGGATTTTATGCATTTGTTTGGTATAAGTTAAAGTGAGATTTTTTTTTTTTAATATTTAAAATAGTTATTTTTTAATTTAATAAAATAAAATGTCATATTTAAATTCTAAGTATTTTATTTTAATTTTTATAAAAATTAAAAAAATTATTCCAAAATTTTTTAGCATCAAGCCCTTATTGACCACTAAATTATCTCTTTCCATCTCAATTATATACATCTCAAATACATATTACAATTGTTGACACAAATCTAATAATTTTTGTTTTGAGAGCTTAGAATTATTAATTCAAGCTTAAAATATTCGACCACTAAATTATCTCTTTCCATCTCAATTATATACATCTCAAATACATATTACAATTGTTGACACAAATCTAATAATTTTTGTTTTGAGAGCTTAGAATTATTAATTCAAGCTTAAAATATTCGACCACTAAATTATCTCTTTCCATCTCAATTATATACATCTCAAATACATATTACAATTGTTGACACAAATCTAATAATTTTTGTTTTGAGAGCTTAGAATTATTAATTCAAGCTTAAAATATTCGACCACTAAATTATCTCTTTCCATCTCAATTATATACATCTCAAATACATATTACAATTGTTGACACAAATCTAATAATTTTTGTTTTGAGAGCTTAGAATTATTAATTCAAGCTTAAAATATTCGACCACTAAATTATCTCTTTCCATCTCAATTATATACATCTCAAATACATATTACAATTGTTGACACAAATCTAATAATTTTTGTTTTGAGAGCTTAGAATTATTAATTCAAGCTTAAAATATTCGACCACTAAATTATCTCTTTCCATCTCAATTATATACATCTCAAATACATATTACAATTGTTGACACAAATCTAATAATTTTTGTTTTGAGAGCTTAGAATTATTAATTCAAGCTTAAAATATTCGACCACTAAATTATCTCTTTCCATCTCAATTATATACATCTCAAATACATATTACAATTGTTGACACAAATCTAATAATTTTTGTTTTGAGAGCTTAGAATTATTAATTCAAGCTTAAAATATTCGACCACTAAATTATCTCTTTCCATCTCAATTATATACATCTCAAATACATATTACAATTGTTGACACAAATCTAATAATTTTTGTTTTGAGAGCTTAGAATTATTAATTCAAGCTTAAAATATTCGACCACTAAATTATCTCTTTCCATCTCAATTATATACATCTCAAATACATATTACAATTGTTGACACAAATCTAATAATTTTTGTTTTGAGAGCTTAGAATTATTAATTCAAGCTTAAAATATTCGACCACTAAATTATCTCTTTCCATCTCAATTATATACATCTCAAATACATATTACAATTGTTGACACAAATCTAATAATTTTTGTTTTGAGAGCTTAGAATTATTAATTCAAGCTTAAAATATTCGACCACTAAATTATCTCTTTCCATCTCAATTATATACATCTCAAATACATATTACAATTGTTGACACAAATCTAATAATTTTTGTTTTGAGAGCTTAGAATTATTAATTCAAGCTTAAAATATTCGACCACTAAATTATCTCTTTCCATCTCAATTATATACATCTCAAATACATATTACAATTGTTGACACAAATCTAATAATTTTTGTTTTGAGAGCTTAGAATTATTAATTCAAGCTTAAAATATTCGACCACTAAATTATCTCTTTCCATCTCAATTATATACATCTCAAATACATATTACAATTGTTGACACAAATCTAATAATTTTTGTTTTGAGAGCTTAGAATTATTAATTCAAGCTTAAAATATTCGACCACTAAATTATCTCTTTCCATCTCAATTATATACATCTCAAATACATATTACAATTGTTGACACAAATCTAATAATTTTTGTTTTGAGAGCTTAGAATTATTAATTCAAGCTTAAAATATTCGACCACTAAATTATCTCTTTCCATCTCAATTATATACATCTCAAATACATATTACAATTGTTGACACAAATCTAATAATTTTTGTTTTGAGAGCTTAGAATTATTAATTCAAGCTTAAAATATTCGACCACTAAATTATCTCTTTCCATCTCAATTATATACATCTCAAATACATATTACAATTGTTGACACAAATCTAATAATTTTTGTTTTGAGAGCTTAGAATTATTAATTCAAGCTTAAAATATTCGACCACTAAATTATCTCTTTCCATCTCAATTATATACATCTCAAATACATATTACAATTGTTGACACAAATCTAATAATTTTTGTTTTGAGAGCTTAGAATTATTAATTCAAGCTTAAAATATTCGACCACTAAATTATCTCTTTCCATCTCAATTATATACATCTCAAATACATATTACAATTGTTGACACAAATCTAATAATTTTTGTTTTGAGAGCTTAGATTTATTAATTCAAGCTTAAAATATTCGACCACTAAATTATCTCTTTTACTTGTAACCATTTATTTATATTATTCATAAATATTGTCTATATTTCATGTATTTGAAGCGCTATCTTATAAGTTTTTCAACAAAGGAAACACTATCTAATTCAATATCATTTAGATATATGTTATTTATATATTAATTTATGAGACATGCCTTTGACTGAAATCTTTAATTATATATATCATTTAATTTATAAAAATTCATGAGTCCTTATCATAAATACTTGAGGCATGTTATCTATGGAGTCTTATAGAGGAGACAAATCTAACTTTGGATTCTTTTTTATTGTTGACATTTTCTTAATTGCGTCTACATATATTGTCACTGTATGTTGTTGATTTGTTGTTTTATCTATTGAATTTTATTATATCAGTTTAGTCTTATAGTTTATTTAATTTCAATCTAAATTTTGTTTGTTGCCACCCATGAGCTAACCAAATAGATCCAAAGGAGTTGGTTTGATATTTTGCTTATGGTCATGTATTGCTAACAAATATTCAAAATTAATTTAAGGTTGGAAGCAAAATGAATCTGAATCGGTCTAGGTGAAGATTGAAGAAGGTGATGGAGGGTTACATACACAAAACTGATAGGACTAAATTGATATAATTAATGGCTTTGGGTTTTTGGACAAAATAAATGGGGTTTTTTAGGCTGTATTGATTTGTAAATGATGGAGGAATTAAGTTAGTTAGAATTTGTTGTTGAATTACCATGTGAAGAGTTTGCTTTTTGAATTTTATTTTATTAAATTCTTTCTTCAGAACACTTCTTTCTTAAATTTTCCCCATAACTTTATATGATCAATTAAAGGAAGTTCCAAAAAGAAAGAGTTGAAAAAAATAAAACCCAAAGAAAAGATTGATTGCTTTTTGTAAATTAATGTTTTTATCAATCATTAATTTGTATCTGTGTTGACAATGTGTTGTGTTTGTTCGTAGTGTTTGCATTGGGTAACCAATTATTATTTTGCAACAATGTTTGTGTTTAGTTTGAATTGGGTGGTCTATAAAAAACCTTTCATTAGTGTGACAGTGCATGTGTTTGTTTTGAATTGGATAGTCTCTTTTAATTATCATATTGGTTTTTTTCTGTATTTCATAGGTAATATTGACTTATATTGGCTTTTTGAATTGAAGACTAGAAGCGAATGGTAATATTGACTCATTTTTTACAGGTCTACATTTTTTTGAGCTTAAGTTTTTCTTATCTCTCTAATGATTTTGTATTTATTGTTGTGTAAACTAAACGTGTACTTCTTTGATTGATGAGTGTTGAAAGAGGGGCAATCTCGAGTGAGCAACAATCTTGATAGCAGAATTTACACTATTTTTGGTTTTATCGTTGACAAACTTTGAAAATGATTGACGTTGTATTAAGTTAAAGATTATTTAGAGGCAGATTGACGTTGTGTAAATTTATATAGATTTGGTTTGGTTTGAGAGGTAGACATTTGGAGGTGTTTGTTATTTAGATTTTGATCAAGAATACTATTTTCGTATTGGCATGGTGTGCTCGAAAGGGAGAACACCATTTTATTGTTCCTCTTATTTTGAAGTTGTGTCTATAATAAAGGGGATCCTCTTGCTCAAATGTATGTTATCTATTCATTTTTTGTATGTCATGGGAAAACAGAATTTTAGGTATACTTGATTCTCAATGTTTCTAGCTTAAGAGAGAGTGATAAATGAAAATTATTCAAACAAAACATTATTGACACCGTGCCTTTAGGCACGGGCATACACTAGTATGCTAAATAAGTCGAGACAAAATTTACCGATTGGCAGTGTCCTCACTGCCACATCAGCGAACACATTTGTTTTTTGTCTGTAGGGGCACTTTGGTTATTTGGACTCCGTTTGGGAAGTGGGTTGACTTTTTGGCTTTTTGGCTTTTTTGACTATATGAGCCTGGACTCAAAAGCTTAGTTTGGGAAGGGCTTTTGGTTTTTTGGCTTTTTTGATTTTTTTGTGAGAGAAGAGTGTAATGATTATGGGGTTGGATGGGATGTTTTGTCTGTTGTGGCTCATGAGCCTATTCTGTCTTTTATGGCTCATTGAGCCAAAAAAGCCCAATGAGCCCTTGCCAAACCAACCCTAATGTGAATGTTCACATCACTAAGTTACTAAGATTCAAAAAATATTTGTAAGGGTAAAATTGTCCATAAAATCTTTAAATATGATAATTAGGATTTGGTGAATCAAATGTCTAAAATAATAAGACTTATTAGAATACAAGAATATCTTATGGTCTAATTGGAATACAAGTATTTGAAAGAGAATTTTCTAATAAATTTCTCATTTTTGTATTCCTGTATATTTATTGATTTTTTAAAATATTTTTTTACAAATATTCTACTTTTTAGGTGCATCTAGGTTAGATGCATAAAAAAATTAGGTTAACTTCTATATGTACTAATCTAACAATTAACAACTGACTTTTTCCGATTAAGAAAAAAAACTAATAAAATTATTTAAAATATTAAAAGACATTATTAAAAAATAAAAATATCAATTTAAAAATGCTATCAAAATCAAACATGATGATTTATTTCATAA